TTATTGATGTTAAAAGAATGGAATCAACAAAATACCTTGATGACTCTCTTCTTAAAAAATTAGCTGAAAAAGACAAAGAAGAAGCTGAAGGTAAAGAAGAAAAGGAAGAAGAAGAGGATTAATAATTCAATTGTTATTTTTCTGTTATACAAAGCAATTTAAAAATATAAAAGAAGAAAAAAGAAGAAAGTGAAAAAAATTTAAGAGAAAGTAAACTTAAATCAAATAAGATGAGTAGTAGTGGGTCTATTGCATTAATGAGACTTACAGCTGATCTTAAGACTATGCTTACAGATCCACCAGTTGTTTGTTTAAAGAAAGAGAAATAGATTTAAGGAATAAATAAAATTAATAATGTCGTAGGGTATTTCAAGTGGACCAATTGATGAAAGCAATTTATATTTTTGGCAAGCGACTATTGCAGGACCAGAAAACTCACCATTTGAAGGGGGGTTGTTTGAATTAAGATTAACATTTTCAGATGAATACCCAATTAAACCACCTCATGTAAAGTTTATATCTGAGATGTTTCATCCAAATGGTTTGGTAGTTTTGATATAACATAATAAAGTAATAAACAATAAAATAAGAATAATTACTTAAAATGTAGTGTTCAAAGATGGAAGAATTTGTTTAGATATTTTACAAGATAAATGGTCAAGTGTTTATTCTGTGTCTACTATTTTATTAGCTATTCAAGTTTTGTTGAATTATTCATTAAAAATACGTAATTATATTATTAATATTATTAGAGTTTATTAACAGATCCAAACCCAAATAGTCCTGCTAACCCACAAGCATCTGCGCTTTATACAAGTAATAGAAAAGAATATAACAAACTTGTTCGTGCATGTGCAGAACGTTCATTAGAATGCAATTAAATTTAATAATTCTTTTTCAATAAGAAATAATTTTATTTAAAAAAAGTATACAAAGAAAAAGTAAAATAAAAAGGAGGAGAAGAAAGAAATAACTTTGCTTATTAATTTTTATTATTTGGTTAATTCATATTTTGGATTAAATAAGTCATACCCCCGTCTCTTAAATGTTCTACTTCTCATAATTAAAACGATCGCTAGTCCAATGATAATTAAAATAATTAATACTAGTGTAAGTACAACCATGATAATTACTGTTAACCATTGACCATTTTCTTCAGGTTGAGTTGAACTATCGTCTTGTTCTTGAATAAGTGACTGAAGAATTTGAAGAGCTTCTTCTGTTTGTTGCATTTTAGTTTTAATTAGTTTTAAGTTTTAATATTTCCCTTCCTTTAAAATTGTTTTCTAACCAAACAAAAAAAAAAATCAATTCACTTTAACTAATTTATTCATCTTATTGTAGAATCTAAATGGTTCTGGAAGTGACTGTAATATTGATAGCCATTGTTGTGTAACTACAATTAAATCACCTTTTAAATTAAATCCACCTCCAACAATTATTCCATATTTTTTACTAATTTTTGAAGGGAACTGAGAAATAGTTTCAAGTGTTCTTGGTAAATTATTTAATTTAGACCATGTAAATTGACCTTTATGAATTTTGGAATGAATATTTTCATAAGTAATTGTTTCACGAGATAACACAACAAAGTTATCTTCACATAATGGGTCAAAGTATATTCTTTCACTACCAATTTCATTTTGGGAAGTAATTTTTTTAATACCAGTTGTACGTGGATCAACAGTATAATTATCATAATTATAACAAATAAACTCTCCTTTTATTCCAGTAACATATATCATTTTATCTTTTTTTGTCACTTTTTTAGGAATAAATTCACCAATTAATTTTATTGACTTACTTTCCATTGTATTTAAATCAATTAATACTAATTGGCATTGTCCATTTTTTAATTCAGTTAATCCTATTATATTCATTTCTTCATTATAAACTGAGTACATTGGTGAAAAGATACCTCTCTTTTCTTCTTTAATTGTTAATTCTTTTCCATCAAAATTAATTTCTGATGTAATAATTGTACCATCAGTCATAATTGTAATAAGGCAATTATTATTAACATAGACTTTTTTAACAACGCCATTAACATTAATATCTTCTTTAATAATACTCCATGGAGCGGTTTTCTTATTTATTCCAAATATACGTATTAAGTCTTTTGTTCCTACGACAAGTATTGAACATTGTGAATTTAAATCAAATGTAGTAATTTGATGTTTTTTAGATAATTTCATAGTAAAATAGCATGAATATTCTCTATCAATCTCATATTTTCCTTTTTCACATTCAGTTGATGGTATTGCCAATTGATAAAAATTAAAGTTATTATCTACTTCATGAACAACAACCATATCAGCAATACTACATACTTTAGCTTTTGGAGAATCAACTCCAATAGGAAAGATTCTATATGTTAATTGATTCATATCATTTATTGACCTAAATAAAATAATTGTATCTACTCCTCCACTCACTAATATTCCTTCATTTGATATATCAAGTGATTTTACCGTATGGGAATGTTGTCTTACTCTTCCACAACATGTCCACTTTCCATTAACTTCTTTTAATAATACAATTTTATGATCTACACCTGATCCAAATAATACAGCTTCTCCATTTAATGTAGCACTTTTTAGACATAACACATCTGCTTGGTGTTCTCTAAACTCTGCAATAATAGTCATAGTAACAATATCCCATATTTGTATCTTTCCATAAACAAGTCCAACAGCAACAGTACGTTGATCCATAATTTCAATTGCCATAATTGCTGTACTTTTTGTTTTTCTTTCATTTTCTGGAATTTTCTCTTCTTCAAGTCTTCTAATTTCATCAAGTGGTTGTGCTATTTCATCTCTTGACTTATTGTATTTAACTTCTCTCAATCTGTCAGTAGCATAAACAGCAAATATTAATTCAAATTTTTTTTGTTTTTTAATCCAACCAAAGATAACTCCTTCAGATGTTCCAGCAAAAACAAGTTCACCTTTGATATTAATACACGTTGTTTTTCCTTTTGAATGATTAAGTCTTCCCATAAGCCAAAGAGAATCGGGGTCGTCTTGTGATGGTGAATAAAATTCAATAAACTCTTTGTCTGTACCAATAAATAATGACTCTGAATATGCTAAACATGTTACATTTGATGATACATTAATACTTGTTTTTATCATCCCAGTTTCTGGGTTTATTCCAAATACTTGTTTTGTTGTTCCTCCAACAAACAATGTTGTGTCACTCCAACAAGCTGCACAACATGAGTGTTTTGAAGGAAATATTGGAAGTTGATGTAATAATGATTTAGTTTTAGATAAATAAATTTCGACTATCCCATCTTCGCGTGTACATGCTAAGTATTTGTTGTCAGGTGAATAACAAAGTCGCTCAATTCCTGATGGCACAATCCTTCCAAATTGAGTTATATGACACTTCATTCCTTTAAAACCTCTTTAGTTTTTTTTAAAGTACATTTTTAGGGTTTTTTTGAATTTATGTTTTTTCTTTTTTCTTTTCTATTTTTATCTTCTTTTGTCTCTATCCATTCTTTTGTTTATTGTTCTCTTAAAACTTTTTAAAGCTGTTATTCTAACTATTAAACAATCATAACATTTCATTAATTATTCAAAGAATAGAAACATAAAATTTAAAATAAAAATAAATATTTTGACAAAGAAATATTAACGTGAATAAATATTTAAAAATAAATTAGAAGCTTGTTTCTTAGTTTTTAAATCTAAATTAAATAATTTCATTAAGAAGAAGATAATAATGAATTACCCATGGGGATGTCTAAAGTCAGAAACAATTGGATATGAAGATATTCTACTATTTGATTCAATTGTTTGTTATGTTTATTCTATTTATTGAGCAAATAATTATTGCTAGACTTTACTTGGAAGAAATTATCAAAAGTGTTTCTCATTTAATTCATATATTAGTGCAAATCATCTTCAAATTCAAAGAAGAATCATTGATGGCATATCAATAATTACTGCAAGAGATGTTAGTTCAAATGGGTCATATGTTAATGGAGATTTATTTGATGAGACTCAAATCCATTGCTATGATGAAATAAGTTTATTCCACCCTAAAAAAGAAAACTCTATTCATTATTGTTTCATTGAAAATGAAGTTGAAGAAGATGATAAACAAAATGGAGGACCTCAATATGATTATGAAATTGGAAATTATTTAGGAAGTGGTGGATTTTCAATAGTTAGAGAGGCAGTTTCAAAAGAATCAAACAATCTCTATGCAATAAAAATAATCAAAAATAGTTCTGTTAAAAAAACAACAATGTTTCAAAATGAAATTAATATCATGCAGTCATTAGAACATCCAAATATTATCAAACTTGAAAAAGTTTATATCACTAATAAACATATATTTCTTATTATGGAAAGATTAAATGGTGGAGACCTTTATGAAAGAATTATCAATAATACATTTTCTCAAGAACATAGCAAAGTTGTTATTTATCAAATTCTTTCTGCTTTAAAGTATATTAAAGTACATAATATTATTCACAGAGATATTAAACCAGAAAATATTTTATTTGTTAATAAATTAGATTATTTTATTAAAATAACTGACTTTGGACTAAGTAGAAGAATAGACACTACTTCCCATTTAGCATCTACTGTTTGTGGTAGTGATTTATTCATTGCACCTGAAATATTAAAAAAATTATATAATGGAACACCTTATGATGGAAGTAAAGTTGATGTCTGGAGTTCTGGTGTTTTATTATTTGTAATGATATGCGGTTATCCACCATTTTCAAGAACTAATAACCAATATATAGAAAGTATTTTAAAAGGAGAAATAATATTCAAAGAAGATTGGAATAACAGAGACCCATTATTAATAGACCTAATAAAAAGGATGTTAGTAGTTGATGTGAATCAAAGAATTAGTATTGAAAATTGTTTACTTCATCCATTTTTTAAATAACACAATTTTTACTTCAACTTATTTTTTCTTTTATTTTTCTTTTATTAAATGAACTAAATTTCAATTTAAAACCATTGTTTTATATGTCAATTGATCGTTCATATTCTTCTAAAACAACAACCCACACATTATTAAGTGTACCTTCAAAATCAGTTCCATCAATACCTCCCCATTATAAAAAAGCGAATTCTACTCCTGAAACAACTTCAATTCCAATAAAACTTTCATTTACAATGGGATTTGCTGAAACCCATCACTATAGCCATCCATTAATACCAACAACACCTTACACAGACAGTCAATTACTTTCTTCTAGTTCTTCTAAAAACCTGTTAAATTCTCAACAAACAAAACGTACTTTACAAATTCATCCACCAACAACAATTAAAAGTCAACCCACTTCAGTTTCTGAATCAATAAGTGCTTCATTTTCATCAGGACAGTGTAATTCCAGTCCTGTCTTTTCTTTATTGTAATTTCACTTCTTTTCCAAAAATTTTACGTAAGATTTTATTTTATAATTTTTAAATAAATTTTCAATTTATTTTTTCAAAAAAGGAAAAAAATAAAAAAAAGTTTATAATAATATTTATAATAAAACAATTTATTAGTTTTAATTAATTAAAAAGAAAATAATGAAAAAATAAAAACCCTATGACAGAACTAAATTTGAAAAGAGTAGGATGGTTTGTTATGATACATCTTTTATAAATTCATTTAAAGTAATATAAAATAAGTGAACGATATGACTAACAACTTTTAGCCAAAACAAGTTCAAGAATTCAAACAAATTTTGAAACTTTTGAAATCCGGTTCAATTCGTGCCGTTCGTGTCAAGACCAACGGTGAAAACACTAAATTCAAGGTTAGATGTGCTAAATATCTTTATACTTACATTTGTGCTGATAAAGCCAAAGCTGAAGAACTCAAGAAGGCTATTCCAAAGGATATTCATGTCGTTGAAATTGCTAAGAAAGCTCCAAAAGCTGAATAAGTTAATATTTTAAGCTTCTAAATTATAATTTTTAAATTATTTTAAAATTATATAATATTTATAATTATTAAAATATGTAAGAAAAAGGATTAAAAGCACTTCATTGAACGTTAATAGAACTAGTTTCTATTGTTCCTGGCTCAGGGGAGACT